GCTCAGGCAATCCACTCACCTCGGCCTCCCAAAGTGCTGGGATTACAGGCTGAGCCCCGAACCCGGCTAAAGGGATGATTTTCAAATGAATTAAAATAAAGAGGTTTATTTTAATAAAGCACCGTTTTCTACATACAAAATTTCCCATGAAGACCTCAACTTATTAAAGAGAAAAGTGGGAAGAGGGGGACACAAAGTCCCACCCTCTTCATATGCCCCTCATTCTGACACCCACACCACCTCCATCTTCCAGCGCTGACGCCTTAAGGATCACATGTAGTATGAATAATGTGTGGGTGAGGGTTAACACCGCAGGCCAGAGGCTGCTGCTGTCCATAGAAAAGACTGCTTGCAAGGTTGGCCCTGGCTAGGGTCTGGAAACTTGAATTTCAAGGCTCCCATCATTTACAGAAATTAGAATCATTGAGCCTAAACTGTTTGTATGGTGTACAAACAATGTGGTTCATGCTGAACACCTAGTTTCCTTCTATAAGTCTGAAATTTTGCTAACACTAGGCAGAGGATATCTATATGACTATCCCCCAATGAACACCCTGGGAGACATAGAGGCCCAAAAGGGCCAGCAACAATTGGGTAAATTACACTGAGAAAAAGGACCTCAGGATGGGATTTACAGATGTTATAAGGGACTTACTGATCACAAGAGTGGTAAACTCTAACTAACAGCTGTAAATCATTGTTGGAAACTAAACTTTAGCAAACTGCTGTAAGGAGAAAAACAGTTACTCATTGCTGTTTTTGTTTTTGCTTTTTCTTTTTTAGTTAGAATCTTACTCTGTGGAGTAAGTGGCACGTTGACAGCTACTGCAGCCTTGACCTGCTGGGCTCAGGTGATCCTTCCACCTCAACCTTCCAAGTAGCTGAAACTACAGGTGCATGTCACAACACCCACTTAATTGTTTCATCTATTTCAGCGACGAGGACCTGCCATGTGGCCCAAGCTGATCTCAAATTCCTGGGCTCAGGCAGTCCTCTTGCCTCTGCCTCCCAAAGTACTGGGATTACAGGCATGAGCCACGGTGCGCAGCCAAATTAGCCTTATCTTAAAGAATAGGTCACTATCATCAATCAGCCATCTTGCAGACCCCTTAGCACTGCATGAAAACTCCCCAAGCACAGGCCTGTAAAAATTCCCTCTGGCCTCTGCCTTTTTTTTTTTTTTTTTTTTTTTTGT